TTCTTATTTTATCGTAAAGTAAGGTATGTGTCACCCGAACATTTTCTTTAGAATGATTCTTGCGCATAAAATTGCGCGTTAACGTCGAACTGAATTTAGATGAAAAATATTTGGGTGTGGGTGTGGGTGTAGGTCAATGCTTCAGCTAAACCTACGGGTATGCGCCCATGCACACGCCAACTCAGGACCAAATCTAACTCTATATTATTGTAACATTCGTCTAACTTAGAAATATTCAGCTGCATTATATATTCTATTGTCTTTGTAGATTAAACTACAGCTCTACTATATCTTCATTCTATTAACGTGGTTTCATGAAGGGTATGCGACGAATACAAAATCAGACGTTCGAAAATGAAAAGTCTAAGTCCTATCAATTTCATTTTAATATTGACGAAGCAAATGAAATGGATGATGAAGCTACGGCTGATGTTGAAGTGACACCATTAAATGATGATTCACAGCAACAGAACTTAACTCCGGATCAGTTACAACACTTATTCAATCAAGCTAGTTGTGAGTTGATTGCAGAATCGGCAGATGAGCAAGAGTTTTTTAAACGTGAAGTAACAATGAAAGCACCAAAAACAAGTAAAATAATACAAACTCCATTTCCACCTCCTCCATCAGGCCGTACGGAAGATCTCGACATTGATATTGAACAACTGAAACAGATAGCTAAACAAGAAGCAGGTCCACTAATCATTGAAAGATATTCTCCTAGTGAAAGGCAAATTGATTATGTATTATCAACTATTACATTGACATTTAATCAACCAATGATTGCTGTTTCATCACTGGATGAACAAACGAATGCGGAAGATCTAGGCATATCATTAACACCAATAATAGACGGTCGATGGAGATGGACAGGAACAAAAACACTTCAATTTGAAGCAAAACATCGTTTACCATATTCAACAAATTATACACTAACAGTCAACAAAGAACATTGTGTATCAGCAATTGGAGGTAAACTAATTTGAAACTATAAAAGTTAGAAAACACATCTAAAAGAACAACCTTTCGATTTTGAAATGAATATATTTTTAAGGTGAAAGAAAGTCTGATCTACAAAATGAGGCCGTTCCGAGCAGTCTACGTCCTTCTTCTAAAAGATTATGCTTTTTTAAACTTGTCTTTTATAATCTGAAAAAGTTCAAATTTTTTGTTTCATATACTTCTCTTCGCATCGTCTGATAGAAGAAAGTATTTTCTTCACACGAGGAGTCTCACAGAGTTTTCCGATGAACTTTCGCACAGATATAAACATGGTGAGGAAGGCGACCTATGTACAACCATATTTTTTTTTTCTGTATACATGTTTTCAATAGCTCCTTCAACCAGTCACTTTGCAACCCGCCGAAACAATGATACCAATCGAGCTGAAATCTTTATTGCAGATACTGTAGATTCTATTTTAGGCTGTAATATTTTTGAAGCGTTTTTGACTTCAACCTTCGGTTTCTAAAGAATTTTACAATAAAAAAAAATCGATTTTTCGTAGCAGATTTTTAGTATTTTTTAAATATCTCGCGAAGAAAGATATATTTTTCAAAAAAAACGTGAGAATTCGAGATAGAGACTCAAGTATATGTGGTAATAATTTCAGCTTGATCAGACCATTTTTCGAGACTTCTTAAAATGACTGGTTGAAAACTAGAGTTTACCCGAAAATTCACAGAAGAAAAGCTCTTGCTACGGTAAGAATCTTAGCTTGATCGAACACCGGCTTCTAAAGTTTTCATGGATGTCAAAAAAGAGAGGAAACTCTTAAAAACAATAAAAGACAAAGGTTAACTATTTTTGATAATTGGAAAAGGAGACTTTTTCCATGGTTTTGTAAGTAAAAGTAGTTTTTAAAAATTCTATTGAACCCAGTTCTGAAAGAGTTTGAAGACAAACTATTTTATTGAAGAATCTATCAGCTTCTTTTCATTGATAAATAGTTCATTGTGTTCTTTCAAAATGAAGCTAAGCAAATGTTGTATTTTGCTTGTTTGAGAAGCTTCCACTTTTTTCCTGAAACTTAGATTTCTATATGTCCAAAAGTTTGAGGACCTTCAGATATATGTGAAAACATAGGCTGTCATCCACGCTAAATCTCATAGCGATTCTAACTTTTAGAAAGAAATGCAAGAGCTCAATAAGAGTCTATATTAAGGGAAAAAATCTGTCTAGAATTATTTTTGTAAGATAGATAAAGGATGGACACGAAGAGGCTTCATTATTGGAAAGTACGAGAATTAATTTATATTTTATTTAACTTTATATTTAAAACTTAATCAATTCATAAAACTGTTGTCAAACGGTAATCTATGCAGGAATTTTAATAATTTATTTAGAAAAAGCAGTTGCAAAAATAAAAGATAGAACTACTGGCAAAATGATCGGCAACTTTTTCCTTTAATTATCTCAAACCGTTTCTTAAGTCTAGTTCAATCATTGTAAAAGAAAATGCCAACGAAAGCATCTATACTACTTTCTTGTACTACTAAATACAACCCTCGTGTGTAATTAGAAGGCTTTTCATATTTAACAGATCAACCTGTTGAAAATTAAACATATTAGTGGGATATATTGTTGTTATGCTCGTCTACATACATGTAATATTACAAATAATTTTAACACATTATATAGTAGTATTGAATAAATTAATTAAATTAACTTCATTTTGAACTAAAACATTTATATCGAGACATTTGCTTTTTTTCAATATGATATCATTCACGATGGCACAATTAGCATTTGTATGAGTGTTTCTACTTTCGGATGTGCCATTGAGGCTCAATAGACGCACAGTGTCAGGAAAAGGAGTTTTCTGAGACTGTAAAATGATGCCTTTGACTTGCGCCTTATATTCTATACTCATTTTTGATGTTCTCATTGTTTTTAGGAAATTTGGTTGATGCATTTTTCTTTGAATTTTCAACAACAGCACCAAAAGTTCTTCAATTCTTGCCATATGGAACAGTATCAACATTGAAACCTAAATGTTTTCTTTTATTTAATCAAAAAATTGATATGAATGACATCTTAAAATATCTACGTGTAGGGCACAGTGATGGACAAACGATGCAAAACGAAGAATTAGAGCTGCTAAATGAAACAATAGCAAAAAGTGAATTTGAGTCGTTTATGAATGCTAATGAAGGAAATCATGAGAAATATGTTGCATTTACATTCAAACATGATTTATTAAAAGCAACACAATATACAATTCAAGTACCTATAGGCTGCCCATCAGCCGAAGGTCCATTAAAGACAACACTAGAGTGGTCAGCTAGCTTCCAAACTTATGAATCTTTAAAAATAATTGATTGGTTTCCAAATAAAAAAAATGAGTGGCAACAATCTGTTGCTCCTGGTCATAGTTGGTCATTAACATTCAATAATTCATTAGACCATTCAACAATTAATAAATCATTATTCAAATTCAAACCAGAAATCAATGGTTTAGGTAATTATAGACGAAACTTGTTTCGTGGCACATTCTTTTATGTCTGTGTTAATAATGAGTGTGTAATTGTAAACAAAGATGATGACGTTTTCTTGATAGATTTTATGAACTTATCTAGAAAACGTCATCATTGATCCCTATTACTGTTTATTTGGCAGTTCACTAACAGAATGTTAACAATATAAAATGTGTGCCTTTGATCGATAGAGAAAAACCAACATTAAAGAAAAATTTACTTTAGGTATTGAACATACACAAGACAATGATCGACAAATAACATTCTATAATAATTCTAAACCAAATACTGTTTATACACTGCTTATACAATCAGCATCATTGAAAGATGTTCATGGTCAAACATTAGAACATGATCATTCTGATAAACCAATTCAATTTCACGTACATGATTCGCCACCATTAATTGGAAGTATATCAGGTGCAACAGGTATAACACAAAAAAATAATACAAAAATAGAATTTTGAAAAAAGAAGTTCTAAAATATGGATGTTGTCTATTATAAAATATGAATTCTTCTCTTACAGCAAGAAACATTGATTATAAATAAATAAAAGAGAAGTTTGTTTTAGGCATGATAACAATGGATCCTGGTGTATTAGATGAACCATTTTACCCATTTATGGTTTATAATTATTCAGAATTAACACTTCGTATTCATCGAGTGAAACCACAGCATTATCATCCAACGTTACCATGTTTTAATTCATACTCTTACACCTATGAAGGAGAAGAATGGTATAATAAATTACCTGGTGAAGAGTTGCTAAATAAAGTTGTACAAACAAACTGTGAACGTGATGAACCGAAAGAAATAAGAGTTCCTTTGAGAGCATATTTAACGAAAAACTGTGGAGTAGGTCAATTAATTGTATTAATTGAACCAACAAAAAAAGCATTCAATGAATGCCAAGATAACAATTGGCAATATAGGCAAATTATATCAGTCTGGCTACAATGTACTCGATTAGCAGTCGATGTATTTGTTTCTTCAGGTACTTATAAATTAAGAGAAAAGGAGACAATTTGATTTCAATTCATACTATTGAATTCGTCCCAACCAATAAATATAACTTATGGTTGAGTAGATATTACTAGATCCTTAATTATGCTGAAAATTATCCAAAAAATATCTTAAAAAGCAAATAATAAAATAAAAGGATTACGAGAAAGAAATAGTTATTAATTTTCAGTTAAATTATCTTATAATTTTCGTAATCAGTAGCATATATCTATTCTCGCGATTAAAATCATTTTACTGAATATGTTAATGTAAGAGTAACAA